CGTGACACCTGTGAATGATGTGAAAATAACTTTTTAAAATAGCAATTGTGATGTGGGGCTTTACACGTCTCCAGAACATTTCAAACGGGAAACAGTCTCTGTGTCTCACCGGCTTAGGTGTAGCTCAGCTAGGAAGTGCACAGTCACATCGTAAACCTCCCTCTTTGTTCCTAATTGGCAGCCTTGTTAACAACATCAGCAAAGAACTATTTACTGAAACCTGGAAGCTAAAAGGTCATACCATAAACTTGTCATGTCGTTACACTCTTTCCTAGGCATCCACTAGCAGCTGTAGTGAAAAACAGGATACCTGAGGCTGATGGACTTTTGCGCTGACTGAGGACACAGTACAATAAATATTCACACATTAGATAACTAAATAGTAGTTTGAAAAGTGAACCTCAAAAGCACTTTAAAACATGCATTAAGAATTCCGTATGGCTGCTTCCCTTGTTGCTTAGCTAAACCTGTCAGGGTTCACAAGTAAAATCACACAGGTTTTTTTACAATGATTTCAGCATGTCTTCTAAAGACATGCAATTCACAATCTGCCTCCCCAGAATAAACTGGAAATGAAGAAATACATTTATGCAAGGTTCAGGTACACTATCTGGTTACTGTTGGAACATTTAACTTTAAGTGCATGTTCAAGTGCCATTGAAGTCACAGGTGCCTTGTCAGCTCCATCTCCTGCTTTGCTTACTTGAGCAGGTACCTTAAAATGAAGCCAGAGATGCTATAAGCAGCAATCTCTAAAATTAAACTTCTGCAGTGCTAGTGGCTCACTGATTTCCATATCAAAGGCACTCAGGTGGCAGCTGAAGAGATGGCTTTTCCCCGTTTGTCACTTATGCAAGCAGGTCTTTGCTGTCACTTGGCTAGGATTATGGAAAGAAACAAGCACCACTGGAGGGCAATTCAACCCCTTGTCTCACACACCTATTTTGGGATGACAGGACTTGCTTTCAGAGGTACCTATTTCTGCCTTGACTGCAAAGGACCTGGTGTGACCAGCTCAATCCTTTTAGAAGGCATTCCCACTAGATTCACTCCTTTCAAGTCAGAGCAGATGTTTTTCACCTTGTACGTTATTTATAACATGAATCAAGATTGAGTGGATAGAGCATAATATAATGCCTGCATTCTGAAGACTAAAAGAAACTTAAGTAGAAAAAGAATGAATATTTCTTTTTTAAAGTATTTCTAATAGAGCTTAGCTGACTGGGCTGCTACATTCCCATTTTGGAATCCGACCTTAACCTGGAGTTTGAGCTGAAACTGTGCTTTAACAGGGCTGACAGGTACATCAGTGGCTGTGTTGCATACCTTGGGAGGACAGGGAAATGCCATCATGGATTGCATTCACAACTTTATTGGCAAGCCAAGTCTAAGGATGACGTCTTGGGATGAGTTTCTTTGTCTCTACCATTTCACTAGCAGGGTTTGCATAGAGAAAGGCTGAAAACTGTTATGTGCTAAGAAATCCAGGGAAAAATTAAATGTTAACTTCTTCCTACTGATTATTTCCTACTTATCATATTATTGCTGAGTGTTTCATCCCATGCAGTTGTGTGAACATGTATGTTTTAGTCAGGCATCTACTTGCAAAATTGAGAGACAAGACTTCCGGCACAAAACAATGAATGCCCTTTATTAAAGAAATAAGTCATTAAATAAGGGCATCTATAAATAGAAAGGGTTGTAAAAACAAATAGGAGAAAGCATCTGGCTTGCAACATCTTTGCACAATTTGCAGTAGCTAAATCTGGACTCAATTAGTGACCTGTTTATTTTCCAAAATTTCAGTAAAATGCCTTGGCAAAAACTTAATCTGTCTCTGGAGAACATCTTACTTCCTTCCATATGTTGCCTGATCTGTCACAGCAATAAACTTCTTCCCAGTTTCAAGATCCCTAACGATTGCACCAACTTATGCTTTCCATAAAAGAAGAGATAATGGTTTCAGCCCTCTACAAGTCATGATTCTCCCTTAAGAGAAAGCAACACAAAGGAGTGCAAGAGGCAGTGAGTGCCCTGTGTTAAAGCCTCTAGTGTGACCTAAAATCCAGAGATTTAAAACAGTTCCTACCTACAATTCATCCCAGCTGTTTTATAATCCCTCTGAATTTGACAGTTTCTCTAAAATGCTGCCATGCCACGATTAATATATATGCCTTGGCTTTGTAAACACTTGTCCTGCTGTCCTTGTTGTTTAGAGTGCCTTCAAAAGAAACAGCTTAGGCCATTTAGTAATTACACGTTTATGGTTTTATATGAAACAAACCAGATGTTTCAGAGTCAGTTTTATTTGGTGGTGTCTTGTCTAACCTAGACTCTGAAATGTATTTGACCTCTATTTGAATCAGATTAGGTATAGTATCTTTTGTTTTATTATATGTCATAAATATGGATGTTCTGGTACCTTCCTATTTCTGAAGAACCCACTCATCCAACCACACTGACTTAATAGACAATCTTTTTAAAAAGAATATACTGTTGGTTTAGAGGCTAAATGTAACAAAACGGACTAGTCTACATGAGTCAAACACTTAATCATATAAATTTATACAACATATAGGTGCTCTGTTGAATTAAGACCATAATCAAATAATCTGTTTTGTTCTGAAACAAAAGCAGTTGGAGCTGTCAGGGATATACAGAATGCTCAGATGTAATCACCAAAATACTCATTTGCAAAGCTGATATAAAACTACATGCTTCTGATTCTCTATGAACTTACGTTTCTTTATGTTCAGGAGTGATGGAGTGAGTGAAGTTGGGATGATAAAAGGCATCCTTACATCAGAATTCAGAGTTCTGCTGATTTTAGAGAAGCTCTTTTTTTTCTTAAAGTAAATGTCAGGAAAAAAAATGGTTCAAAGCTTTAGCTGATAACAAAGCTGTAAGAGTTTCTTCCCAGGAAAGACACTGGGCAACTTCCAAACACCTCACCGTGTGGCAGAAATTCAGGTAGAGGTTCAATGTACATATGTTTGGTTATGCATGTAATAGCGACTAGTGACATTTGGAAAGTTGATGGTGTCTTTTTGGTTATATAATTACCCTGTTGGTTCAAAGGAAGCTGACGGGCTCAATGCTGTCATGGAGCGTGAAAAACCTCAGCTGAGAAAAGTAAGAGAAGATGTGGTAAAAGTGAATGAAGTAATAAATAATGCAGAAAAGAGGAATCGATTGTCATTTTTACCTTCCTATGATAACAAAAATACAGTGATCAAATTTTAAATGTACAAATTAAAGTTTAAAAATTGAAGAGAAACAATGTGTGCTACACATTGGTTTTACTTGAAAGTACATGATCTGAGTCACTAGTTATACTATTACACAGCAGTCCTTCTCTTATCAGTTTTCTTAAAACTATCAACTTCTCTAACAGTTGCCTATATTGTATAATTAATTTTCTTCTACTTTGTTTAGTGAGCTATTCTGAAGATGAACATTTACCTTCTCTCAGTGACTTCCACAAATGAAAGTGGAAAAAGTAGTGCCAGCCTTTACTGAAAATCCTGACTTTACTAGATCTACACAGACACCCTGCCCTCTGGGACTGGGACCTAGTTGGGGCCAGGAGCAATGGCAGGAGATTTAACACAGTGTAACTGAAACTGGGAACCTCAGGAGGAGCTGAGAGCCTCCAGGACCCACAGGCAGCACAACAGCAGCTGACAGGGGCCACACGTATAAAATAAGCCCTTAGGGAGCAGTTGTGACCAGGGTGTGGCACAGCAGTTTGCACAGAAGGGTGCTGAAGCAGTGCCAGCTCGACCAGGAAGCAACGGTATCCCCCTGGCAGAAAGCCATGGCCTCACTGAGCTCCACACCCAGCACGACTGACACAGCTGCCCAGGAACACACTGCCACCCAGGTGCCACCTGCAGGGTGGCCCCAGCTCTTGTGCCAGTACGAGGCGGGAGCTGTGAGCAAAGCTGCGGGAGTGCGCCCAGGTAGAGGAACTTCTCTGCTTAATGACAGGGTGGGGGGATCCACAAATGAGAGAAACTGGAAGCCACTGTGCAGCAGGAAAACTGTGACATAGTTGCCATCACAGAGACATAGGGGGATGACATGTACAACTGGAGTTCTGCAATGGGTGGCTATAAACTCTTCAAAAGGGACAGGGCAAAGAAGGAGAGGCAGTGGGATAGCTTTGTAGGTCAGGGAGTGGTTTGATTGCCTGAAGCTTAATGATGGTGACAGTTGACAATATCATATGCATAATTAACTCACAGTATTTTAAAGTCACTCATGACTCTTTTGTGGCTTGAGATAGTTACATATTTGTTTCTGAAGTAACATTTGCAAATTTGGATTACTGCAAAATATTTGCTAAAGAAGAGTGTGAGTAGTTCACAGACTTGTCAGAATCCATCTGTTTGTGTCTATTAATGAGTGCATTCCCAGCTGCAGTCTTTCCAATGTAATAAATAAAAAGTTGCTTTCTTACTATAAATACAAGGGCTGAAATTTCCTTGTAAAATTGATTTATTTCAATAAAAATCAGTCCTTATGTTAAAGACACCTCTTAAAATGAGCAAGACCATGAGATGCCATTCACATATTCTTTCAGCCAACTGACACATAAATGACTCAGTCTCAAATAATTTACTACAGCATTTTCCTGGATAAGCTGTGAAAGAGCATGCCATTCAGATCAGGATGAGTGGGACTGGGATGGGAAAAATAAGGTGTATTTATCAGAGGAATGAGAGGCACATTGAAAATAACCTAGAGGTTGGGACAAATGCTTATGTTCTCACTCCTCCATGCAGTGAATTCAACATAAACTTAGCACATGTATTCAACACACTTTAGGGAAGTACAAGCTATGAACCAATGAAGGAGGTTCCCAAATCTTTAGGAACTCCGTTTTTGCAATGCTAAGTGTAATTTTTCAGTATTTTGACTGAGTTACATTTCTAATTTTGGTTTTAACTTAACCCTTAAGCTATCCTCTTCCTGAATTTCTTCATAAATTACAGCAACAGAAGACTGTATACAAAGATATTTCAAGCTACTCTTTGCTCAAACTCAGAAAGATCTACATATGATATAAGGTACATTTGAACTATGCTACTGTTCTGAAGGTAACTTCCCTTTAAATTCTTTCTATAACAAAGCAAATACTCCAGTTTTGTGGGTTTTTTTAAAGTGCTTCTGTATTAAGTGAACTGTGAGGGCTCAGTGCCTTCTGCATCATGATGGCCTGGAAAACCAGTCCTCCCCAGAAAATATGCTGCTTGGTGTATCAGCGCACCAGTGCCATTCATTTAACTCAAGCAACAGAAGAAACCAATTATCCCCATCTTATTTTACACTGTGACAAGTAAAATTTGTGAAGTATTTATAAAATTAAGGAAGTGATTTTGAAGTTAATGAACTTAGCTTGCTGCTAAAGAAATACTCATCGTTTAAACAATTTTTTGCTAAGCATAAATTTCAAATTATAGTGTTTTTGAAATAGATTAGAAATCAAATTCTTATAGCTCAAAGAAACAAAACGCTTATAAGTTTCAGTGCCTCCTCTTTCACTGTACTACAGCAAGTTCCTGGATGTGTAAAAATGACTTCTGGATAGAAAAACTTTTCTATATACTTACTGTTAACAGCAACAAAGAAAAAAATCAGTATCTCAATGAAATTATCTGTTGAAATATAATTCATTCTGGTGATTATATACAGCAGAATATGTTTTAGTTTTGATTGGCATGCTAGCTGAAAACATCTTACTTTTTAATTCTCATAAATTTTGTTCCACTTCTACATTGCCAAGTAATGGCAGTAATTTCAGGACTCTATGCCAGAGCATGGAGAGTTTGTTTGTACATGCTGCTTCAGAGTAGCGCCCTGTGAGTAGAAAGGCCACATCTGCACTGCACAGTTTTGAATTTCATGTAAGTATCTCAGGAGCCAAACATGTACTTTTGGGCATACTTTCTTTCTTTAAGTGACCCACATAATGTATGAGCTGCGTTACAGTCCCTCAGTCTGGGGGGGTTATGTCATTAAACTGGGGGCACGTGTTGCACACCTCTGCATGTAGCACTGGGGCATGTGGAGGTGACTTAGTTTAGTGAGCTGAGTGCAAATTGCATAAATGTACTGTAATTAGATGTGATTAAGTCCTGCTGCAAAAGCACAGAAAATAAGGCTTCTGGGTGGCACTTTATCCTTGAGGATAGAGTATGCCTTGAATATTGCACTATCTTAATAAAATCAGTTATTGTGTCTAATTCTGTGACACGTTGCCTACACACACTAATTGATATTACTGTATGTAAATTACTGCCCTCTACTGGAATGACAGGCAGAGTATTTCACAGGAAATTGATTATTATGTAAAGTGATGTGCTGGTTTAAAAGTTAACCAGCAGGGGGAATGAACCCAACTCAAAGGAGAGATTATAACAATTTATTAAAATAATACAGTAAGTACAATAATACAAACAAACAATTGGTCTCAACCCACAAAAACCCAAATGTGTAACCCAGTACCCTGGGGCCTGAACAAAGTGGTGTTCCTTGGGCCCTGTTTGAGTCCAAAGTAAAGGGAGAGGGGAAGAACCTGCTGGTGGGAGAGCTGCTGCAGTCTGGCCAGAACTGGTGATCGCAGTCCAGTGGTGGTCTAAGTCTGGTTGAGAGCGATGAGATGCAGCCGTCCTCTGGATCCCACGAGTGGGTTGAAAAATGTTCCAAAACTCCAAGATTATATATCCTCCAGTTCAGGCAGGAATGCTTGGTACTCCCCTCAGGGCGGGGAGTTCACAAAGGGTGTGAGGACAGAAACATCCTCCTATCTCACAGGCCTCTTAACACCTAGTTTATAGCCTGAGGAGTCAGGCTCTATGGGCAGAAGGTGCGAATAGTCTATTGACAACAATAGTCTAGTTTCTGGGAAATGACATGGAAGGCTATAGAATACAGTTTTGGGTTACACCCACCATGATGAACTGATCTCAGCTGTCCTAACTAGGACAAGTGATTAAATTGATTTTTGAAGTTTGGTGTTTTATGGAACCAAGTGCCATGAACTGCAGATGTTCCTGATCCCTTCTTGTAGCATAGCTACTTGCTGCACACATATCTGCATGCACTCAGCCTTTGCTTATTTGCAGTATAAGGTGCACCAAGATGGTCTAATTGTCAAAATATTTTCATTTTTGAACTGTAAACCAGATGTGCAAAGGAGCTACAGAAGTGCAGTCTTCTTGTGAATGCTCTAATGTCAGTCAAGGAACCTCCTACACTGTCATATTTTTAAGCTTGCAATAATCAAAAGAAAACATCAGAAATTCTTAATTTATTGAAAATAATATTCCCCAAACCAAATTTTCAAGAAATGCAAGACAAGCATCACTTCTTTAAAATCATGGGGCTGGCTCAAAACTGACATTTTACAAACTGCATTTTTTTCCTGTCTTTTCTGACTCTGAAGTTCACATTTTCTTTTTAAATTTGCTATTCAAATTTGCTTCAGTTGAAGTGAAAGCTAGATTTCTCAATGAATTGTGACTTGAGGAGATGATTTTTACAGGAGCTATAATATATAGCAGCACAGGATTTGGCCATGGTATGACAGAAAAGCAAAAGAAATAAGGAAGAGCAAGAGAGAACATCTGTCTCTCAAGAAATACAAGAAAACAAATGTGAGTCAAACCACTACTGTGAAATAAAGCCATTGCCCAGCAAGTATTGCATAGATCATATTGTTAAGACATCTACGTTCTCAGAATCCTTAAAAATATAACAATATGGGACATTTTGAAGGGTTTTTTCATTCAAACAAAAAGCAGCAACACGAAATTCAGAATTGAGACTTCACTGATTCCCGAAACTAAGCACCATGTCCTACTATAGCTGGAAAACAGAAGGATGGGAGTCCAGTCTCCAGGGCCTTCCCGAGTCCAGAAATTTCACATCTTTAGGAATTTGCTGGCAGACACCTACAGACGGTATTGATGTTCACTAAGTAGCTAAAAGTTTACTGTGGATATAAATGTTCTATATAAATGTTCTGGCACAGTTATTATATAAATAAAGTCACTTGCATGCGGATATGGAAGTGGCCTATAGGATTACAGTCATATGAATAAATACAAAAACATCTAACAGGAAATAACTGAGAAGATACATTATTTAATATGCCATGACTGATATTAAGAAGCAATCTTGGGATGGAAAAACATCATCACTGTTTAATGCCAGACAAATACATTAAGTATTTGTAGCAGTCTATATGAGCTCCTATATATCTTTGAAAAATATGAGTACCAATAAACCATCTATCTAAATATACAGGAACTTAAACAATATTGTATTATAAATACTGCTTCTGGAAAAATAGTACTATGAATTTTTTCCAATATTATGGTCTGCAAACATCAGCGATAATTACAATTCCTGCAGGAATACTCCATGAAGGCAGAGTGTAGCAAACTGACAAGGTATCAGCCTTCTTCTAGTCACATAGAAACATCTACAGGTGGAATGAACTGAGACCATGTATATGGCCCCCAGAAAAATGGAGACTTATCAAGGATCTTCTATAAATAGCTATCAAATGGAAACTGACTGATTCAAGTGGTATCCAGTTCTATTGCCAGCACTGATTCCCCATTTTATCAGCAGAGATTTGTACTTATACTGTCAGGAAATCAACTATTCAAAATTGAATTTCTTTTAGGAAAATAATCCCTGATATAGCTCTCTCTGATGGAAGCAGTACTTGTTCAAATACAAAATTTATGTATTAAATGTAAAACCAGAAGATAAATGTTGTTGTCACCCTAGGAACCTCTGCTACTCCTCCACAGTAACTCCAAATCCTATACAGCAAATGGCAGCAGAGACATGGGTTTGAGTATGAGAAAATTACATCTTTCTCTGGACTTCTAGACAGTGGGGAGTCCTCCATCACCCCCCTTCACAGTCTCATGCTGATACAGAAATACTTGGCAGGTCAAGCATATTGGTATTTTTGTAATTGTATTTCTGGAATTAACTTCTTGTTGCTGAGGGTCATGAGAACCTGGCAGCAGCAGAACTAACAATGGTGGTATTTTGCCACCATTGCTCCCTTTTCAGATTCAAACCACTGGCCTTCAAGGAGTGCCTAGGGAAGGAGATAGAGGATACTGATGTAACTTAGTGCAAAGAAAAGCCTATATATACTTTAAATAAGGTATTCTAAAAAGCCTCCTAAGATTAATACAGAATATATAGCATGATCAATGTAATTTATGAGATCAATGACTACATTTTTGGCTACTAATTTTCTTTAGGAGTGATACAAGAGCAGAAAATTTCCTGGCATGCCTGACCAAACGAATCACTCATAAGTCACTTTCTTTCTTCCCTAAAGCACTCTGTCACGAATAAAGAACGCCTTTCATAACTTTTCTCTTTGACAAAGGATGGTCTTTTCCCATTGATGGAGCTGGGTAATGGGGGAATTTACACATATACATCTTATCAGCATACATGAGAATCAGCATCTTGTATTCTCCAGTGCACTGGTGGGGACACAGACTGCAACAACTCTGCTTTCTAGAAATATACATGCATGATTTTAAAATAGAACATAAAAGTATGCCCACCAAACTGGCCACAATAAAACCCACATTTTTCACATGTACATCTCCCACAGTCTTTAATGAAAACTGACCTGCCAACATTATTTTATAAAAAATTTCACTCTTTCCATGAATGGCTTTAAGTAGATTAACCTGCCACATTTGCAAGTACACAAAGGTCTTAATTAAGAATAAATTTCAGTAATATAATAATACCAAGATTCTACAGACTCAAAGTTGGCCCCATAGCAGGATGTCTGCCTTTGCTCAGGAGTTCTCAGAGGACCTGGGAGCCTGGTACACGTGTTTCTTTTCGGCTCTCCTAACAGTTATATCAAAATAGACTTCAGCTTTTCAGAGTACAAAATTCAAAAGCAAGTTCTTAAAAATGTTCCATTTTAAATGAAAACTAAAAACTATGAGGAACCTAGAGATTTGATACTTCTGTAATTAGGCTCCAGAAACATAACTGCTTTTGCCTCCATACAGGCATGACAGAAAACTGTGCTAAAATTCATATAGTTCTGGTTGTGATCAATAGCTTTTTAAGACTTTTCACTTCTGTATTCACCAGGATCAACAGACCAGCTGGTGCCAGGAAGCATCATGCTGCCAGAGGTGCAATTACAAACTTAGGCTTGTTCATTTGCACCCAATAAACCCACAATAAAACACAAACCAACCACAAATTACTTTTAAGAGGAACAGGTGCATTGCCTGGACATTTTTGCCACATGCTGAATGTGGCAGTTAACTTTCTGCTGGACAAATAAGTCTCCATTTTCTAACCTACTTCAAATAATGTTCCATTTCATCTCTGACATAAATGCATTTCACTCATATTTGAAGAGATACTTGTAGCTGCCAATTAATATAGATCCGCCTGAACAGTTAAGGATATCCTAGAGCAGGTCTTCTAAAACTTTCCATTTAACAACTTAATTTTGGCTTCTTTAGACCTAAATTTTCTTTTACTCATGAGCCTGCCTCATGCTCCTGTTTCAATTTTTGAAGCTTCAAGTAATCCATTTCTAAGAAAAAAATTAGTCAATCTTATGTTGTCCCACTGTACCTTTTCATGCCACTTGATTTGAGACGCTAGCGCTTCATCCTTTGGAACAAAAACCTGTAACCTCACAGTGAAGGTTCGAGAGTAACTCTAGCAACAGTGCTTGAAAAATCTGTCCAAACTTGGACAAATTAAAAAATTTTGAAATGGCAGTCTGAGCAAACCACTGGAGACTTAGCGGAAAACTTGATCCCAAAGTGTGCTTACTCAGAGCATGGCCAAGCCAAGAAAAGAGTGGGAACATCCAAAATCCTTCCCCAAAACTACCACAGGCAGTTGCTTCTGAAGAGCTCTGCAGCTGAGCAGGAGTTGGGACAGTGCTCAAGGGTATCCTGCCTGGTACTGCTGTTGCAGCAGACAGTAGAGAGGATGTCAATGAAGAGATAAGAGGAATTGTACCAGAAAAGCTAGAGGAAATCAAGTAGGGATTTAATCTCTTCAAGAACACTGAACATACAAAGTATTGTGGGACATGAAGCTTAGGTGAGAAGAGATTTGGCAAAAAAGACTGAGAGTGTATCTTTTCCATAGACACAGTGAAGGCAGCCTTTCAGAGCAGAAATCCTGGCAGCTATCTGTGTAGATTGCTAAACCACAGCTAAAAGCTAAACTGAGGAAACTGGACACAAAGCTTTCTATTATTAGAAGAATGTTAGGGTCATGAAGTTTTCAAACTTAAGTAAGTTTCAGAGTTGAAGTCACCCACTTAATTCTAACTCAATCTCTTCCCACTAGGCATTAGGGCAAAGTCTTAACTTCATCCTCACATTCAGTTTCCAAGAATCCCATCTGATGATATACAATGGTCTGGTCATGTATCAGCACCACATAACAGCTAAGCCAGCAGCTGCAGGACCCCTGCAGGGTGGGAGACAGCATACAGGAAAAAAAACAGGTTTCTGAGACTATGCCAAGTAAACTATCCCTGTGGTTCCATTCTTTTCTGTTTTCCACCAAGTCACTTGAAAAAAAATCTGATCAGACCACCAGAAACTGCAAGTTATTCTTTCCCTGGGTGCAGGACAGTTAGAACCCAAATGTGCAACAGGAACCACTGAGAGCCACAATTTGAATATTAAAGTAGAAAATTCAAATTCTGACTCTCAAGACTTGGTATTCTTGAGTTCAGTCTCATTGTGCCTCTGGTTTCTATCTGTAAAATGGGAGCAATATAACCATACAGCTTCTAGGAATACAACCAAAACATTAATGATATGACCTGCTCCTAAGCACCATGCTCATGAACTCTTAAAGGAATTTGTAATTCTCTGCTCAGTCCACGATTTGAGAAAGCTGCAGTACAACAGGCTCTAGGTTAACAGATTTAGCAATGGGGATCATTACTTTGTACAGTGAATGAGGCTGAAAAATTCTGTGCAAAAAAAGGTAAGATGATCATGCCAATCCTGTCAGTCTTAACAATCATACCCTGTGAGGAGGCTGCACAATATAGCAACTGGCATCCTTACATCTGGTGTTTCCTGACTTCAAAGTACCAAATTTCAAAACTAAATTTTTATTTTATTTTAGTATACAATAAGTGAAAGAATGCCAGAGAGAGAGTGGCACTTTTCCCCTACATACAAGAAATGTAACAACAACTTGTGTTTTACTGTAACAGGTGATCATGATTTGAGCAGGGATCTCAGAATCAGCTTAGGTCATTGCTTTTGGAGAGTCTGTTAAATACCCAAGTTAAATTCCTCAAACACTGGTTTTCAATAACGACATAGTGGTTCAGGATTACATTAAACCAACAGTATTTTATGTAACTTTTAAGGCAAATAGGTCCTTACAGGGCCTTAAAATTCTGGTACATTTCCCATTCAGTTTGTGCATTCCAATTTAAACCATAAGCATAGTGAAAACACAGAAAGTGTAAAATACCTCTGCAAAAATTATGAAAAGCACAAAAACCCCTAAGGGTGCCATTTTTGGCACTGTAGAGGGTTCCCTCATTGTTTAAAAAACAAATCCTAATCAGTGAATCCAAAAGAGTGACTAAGAGCTTCTGGGCACCATAGATCTGTCCCGAAAAAGAGACAGTACGGAGCAGCGCTGTCGCCAAGAGCCAGGCTGCTCATCACCTCTGTTGCAAAGGGGGAGGGAGAGAGGGAAGGAGCACACTGTATTAGTCTTTTTATGCACAGCCTACTTTCCAGAGCAACCTAGCCATGCTGTCTGCCTCTTTGAGAACAGCTGAGCCAAAGCTCAGCTCTCTCCTTGCTCTAGCCAAGGTTCAGCTCCTTTCTCTAGCTCACACACCCACTGCCCAATAGTGTGCTCCTGCCCTCTGTTCCAGCACAAGGACATCAGAGCACAAACTCTTCCCAAGGAGCACTGGGGAAAGCCCTGAGCAACCTGCCCTGCTCCCAGTGCTGATCCTGCTCTGAGCTGGAGACTAGACTAGAGACTTCCGAGCATCTCATCCAACCCCAACAATTATATAATTTTTGTGAATTAAGCTGTCATGTGCTTACTTTCTTTACAGGTATATGTTGGACTACTGGTGTCTGGATCCTTAACAAATAAATAAAAAAGTAAAGCAGACCAAAAAAATAACTATTTAAGTGCCTGCAAAGCTGTCTTCACAGCAATGACTTAATCACAAGCCTTTATTTGGCTTGATGGTTGGAATATGACAGTACACTGATGGTTAAAACTCCATTTTGTTTTGGTCATTGCTCTTTAACACTAGTTATCAGCTACACTGTCAGTCAGGGCTGAACTGCAATATCAGCTCGGAGGAAAAGGAGGGAACTTGTACAGCCTGACTGAGATTGGACCTATTACGATGGAGAAGACGCTCATCTGGCAACCAGCAAATAACGACACATTTAGAGCAGCTTAAATTCCCTGCCTTCTCATTAACAAAAGCTGGAAGAAGAGGCCTAGGAATATACACTGCAGCTACGTGGATCAAAGGGACAAATAAATATAAAAACAAGGACAAAAATGCCAGAGACAGAAAAGCATCAGAACATCTCTGGAATCAACAGATGATACTTGTACATATCTTGTTATGTCATCAGACAATTAATTTAATTAAAAGGCATGTGTATCAGTGTCTCACCATCATATTATGAATAGCACTTAAATTATGGCAGTGCATAAGCCCAGGACATCAGTATTCTATCCAACTTAAATAAAAAGTTTTGACTCCATCAATTTTAATATCCAGCTGCTTTAAGAAGTTGGCTACAGTTTCATGGCAGCCTGCCCAGATCCTTTGCTCAATCAAGCAATAGTTGTCTCTGACTAGAAAAAAAAAACAAAACAAAACAACAAAATATCCTTGCTGAATGTCTGCTGGCATCTGCTATCAATATAGGAATAAGTGGATTAAATGTAAAGACAATTTATTATTTTGGGTAGCCATATTATGACAAAATTAGCCAGTTTAGTAAATCATTATTGAACCCACCCAGTTTAGATGAATTTTTCAAAAAATTACCATGCAATTTTTATCTGTTACTTTAATACATAAGAACTAATGTGCCGTAGACACAGTCTGAAGACCTATATCATTTACCTCTGCATTACACAATACTAGGTGACAGTGCCCTAGACAAGGTCACCAAACTCCTAACAATGCTATAGGATGTGGCAGAGGAATCCATCTTTACAAATTAGGCTTCATTATACAGGATTCTGCTCATAAATCTTGATGTATAGTTTTCCAGTATAAGAACTCTACCTTGCACTTGCCATGTACCCTCGAGATCTTCTAAATCACTAAGTA